TGAAATTTTCAGCATTTTTGCATTTGTTTTTCCTCATCTTCATGGATTTGTCTACCTTTGATCTTTCAGGCTGATAACCTTTGGCTGGGGTTTTTGTGTGGGGGTCCTTTCTGTTGATGTTGACGTTGTTGCTGTTTGTTAGTTTTTCTTCTAACAGTCAGGCCCCTCTTCTGCAGGTCTGCTGCAGTATGCTGGAAGTCCATTCCAGACCCTGCTCGCCTGGGTATTACCAGTGGAGGCTGCAGAACAGCAAAGATTGCTACCTGCTCCTTCCTCTGGAAGCTTTGTCCTGGAGGGCACCAGCCTGATGCCAGCTGGAGCTCTCCTGGATGAAGTGTCTATTGACCCCTGTTGGAGGGTCTCTCCTAGTCAGGAGGCACAGGGGTCAGGGACCCACTTGAGGAGGCAGTCTGTCCCTTAGCAGAGCTCAAGCGCTGTGCTGGGGAATAATCCTTCTTGTCAGGATCAGCTGCTCTTTTCAGAGCCGGCAGGCAGGAAAGTTTAAGTCCACTGAAGTTGCGGCCACAGCCACCCCCTCCTCCAGGTGCTCTGTCCCAGGGAGATGGGCGTTTTATCTGTAAGGTCCTGATTTGGGCTGCTGCCTTTCTTTCAGAGATGCCCTGCTCAGTGAGGAGGAATCTAGAGAAGCAGTCTAGCCACAGCTGCTTTGCTGTGCTGTGGTGAATTCTGCCCAGTCCAAACCTTTCAGCCTCCTTAGCACTGTCAGGGGAAAACCACCTACTAAAGCCTCAGTTATGGCCGATGCCCTTCCCCCCACCAAGCTTGATTGTCCCAGGTCGACTTCAGACTGCTGTGCCGGCAGCAAGAATTTCAAGCTGTTGTTCCTGGTCTGCTGGGCTCTGTAAGAGTGGGACCCACTGAGGGAGACCACTTAGCTTCCTGGCTTCAGCCCCCATTCCAGGGGAGTGAACGGTTCTGTCTTACTAGGGTTCCAGGTGCCACTGGGGTACAAAAATAAATCCTGCAGCTAGCTTGGTGTCTGCCCAACAGCCACCCAGTTTTGTGCTTGAAATCCAGGGCCCTGGTGGTGTAGGCACACGAGGAATCTCCTGATCTGCGGATTGCAAAAACCATGGGAAAAGCATAGTATCCAGGCTGGTTAGTGCAGTCCCTCATGGCTTCCCTTGGCTGGGGGGGGCCGGTCCCCCAGTTCCTTGTACTTCCCAGGTGAGGTGATGCCTCACCCTGCTTCTGCTCACCCTCCATGGGCTGCACCCACTGTCTAACCAGTCTCAATGAGATAAACTGAGTACTCCAGTTGGAAATGCAGAAATCACCTGCCTTCTGTGTGGGTCTCACTGGGAGCCTCAGACTAGAGCTGTTCCTATTTGGCCATCTTGCCAGATTGACGAATATTACAACTTATTAATTCTCTTAGGTGTCATCCTTATCTCAGGAGATACAGGCTTAAGTGCAACATTACAATGATTAAGGAAATAAATACATTACATATACATACAAAAAGGTAAAACCAACGTGGCTCACTATCAACAATTGTTGAATTCAGGCAGCTTGTATACAGGCTGCATTGTGCAATTCTTTCAACTTTTCAATATATCTGAATTTTTTTTAAGTAAAAATCTTGGGAAGAGAAAAGATTTTCTTTTGAAAACTGGTATATTAATATAAATGAATTCAAGTAGACTGATATAATATCAGTTATTAGAAAATCAATTACCACTTGGCTATTGAATCCACCATATTGAGTCAAGAAGAACTTAGTATCTTTTCATTAAGAAAACATAGGCTTTATTAATGCTTGACTAGTAGACAAGTTGCACTTGATTAAACTCCTAGTAAATTCAACCAGCTAGTGACTATAATTAGATGACTGATCACTTCAATCAATTAATCTGCCGAATGATCTACCTCTGAAAATTGACTTAATTAATTGAATTGTTTTTATTTTCATGATCACTTTCATTCTCATCATCATAAAGAGTGATCTCTTAAGCACCTAGAATGGATGCCAAGGACAACACATTCTTAACTCAAGGGGTCTGTAATATAATTGGGGGAACTAGAAGATATGAATCAAACATAAATAACCAGGCCAGGTGTGGTGACTCGTGTCTGTAATCCCAGCACTTTGAGAGGCAGACGTGAGTGGATCACCAGAGTTTGAGAACAGCCTAGCCAACATGGTGAAACCCTGTCTCTACTAAAAATACAAAAATTAGCTAGGTGTGGTGGTGTGCACCTGTGGTCCCAGTTACTCAGGAAGCTGAGGCATGAGAATTGCTTGAACTTGGGAGGTGGAGGTTGCAGTGAGCTGAGATCACATGACTACACTCTAGCCTGGAGACTGAGCAACACTACGCCTCAAAACGAACAAACAAACAAACAAACAAACAACCATATATAACCATGCAAGAAAGCATAATATATATGCTGAATGCATAATGGCATAATCTCTTGGGATCTTACCACATAAAACATAGATGTATCTTTATTGATCACATAGGCTCATCCCTCTCTTTAAAGACAACTGGTTTATTTTTATGTAGTTAAATTTTTCAATATTTTCTTTAAGACCCTGGGATTGTTGCTGTTGATTCCTTGTTTGTTTGCTGTTATTGTCATACTTCGCACTACTTTTCTACTTCAAGATTAGAAAAAATATTGACCTATAGTTTCAGTACTTTTAATGTTCAATGTCTTAAGTTTAAATTTTTGAACTTTATGAAATTTATTTTGATGTAAGAAATGAGGTTGAACAATAACCTGATTTTTTTAAAAACTCCAAGCCATTTGCCCAATAATCCCTTTTGCCATTGATGTGACTTTAAACACCCATATGTGTTTTTGCTTAATTCTGCTCTCTTCTCTGTTTCACTGATGCACTGGTACTATGCCATTGTAGGCAATGCAGTGTTAGAATGCATTTACAAGTACGGAAGAGAAATCCTCCCCTTTAATTTTCATTCAGAAATCACCTGGCTATTCTCACGTGTGGTCTTACCCCAGTCAGACCCAATACCTCCCTTTTATAACAAATATTCGGTAATGCACCCTTTATTATATGAAAGGAGATGGCATTTGTGGGTAATGTAACCCCAGTCTTTGTGATAAACCAAAAGGCCCAGTTGATTTCCAAAATGCATCCCAGTTCAGAATCAGTCTGGCAAGTATCGCATAAAATCCTATTGGTATTTGACTAGGATCGTACAGCATTTGCAAATCAATTTAAGCAACATTTCTATTTTTACAGTGTTCTGGCCTCTAGCTCCATTAATTATTATTTCTCTTCATTTATTTATGCCTTTGTGTCTAAGCAGGGTCCTGGCAGGAAAAAGACGCCATGTTAGAGTGAGAAACTGATGAGTTCAGCAAAGTGACTATTTATATATTTGGACAGGATTTAAGGAAGTAAGAAAGAATGATGCGGCACTTCAGAGGGGAGTCTTTCCAACCTCGGGCTGAAGGAGAAGGAACGATTACTGGAATTCAGGGAGGAGAGCATCAGGGAACAAGAGCTTCATTGGAGGATTGCAGGGCCAGGCGGAGAGAGCCAGAGGGAGGAAGGCTCTGCTCTTCCTTCTCCTCCCCTTCAGTTTCCAACCAGGCCTCCCATTGGCCAGACCCAACCAGAAGCCAGCAAGCAAGGGGCTACTGATGAAGTACATAGAGCTCAGCCTCCAGGGACACAGAACAGGATGAAAGGCTGGGACAGTGGGTCTGGTGGGGCAAAGAGAAACATGCACCTGCCAGATGAAGCATTATAGTCCCCATACTCCTCCCACCTTAGAGCAAGGATGCCACCTTAGCTTTTGTGTATTTCCCATCAATTTTCTTCCAAAGCATTTTAAATCTCACTGTTTTGAATGGGGCCTCTTCTTCTATTACCAATTTGGATCAGTAATTATTTATGTATGAGAAAACTATTGATTTTTACATATTGTTTGCACAGCAGAGTGGTTTAATAAAGAGACATTTGGTTTTTACTGCCTGTGTGGGTATCACTTGCTATGATGTGACTTGAGGCAAATCCAATATTTCTTCTGTTATCAATTCCAGTATTTGTAAAAAGATGGATAATAAGATATCCATTTTATATATTTTTAGTATTTAATGAGATCACACATATAAAGTCATTAAAACAGTGTCTGGCTAACAACAAATCCTCAATAAATGCTGCTTATTTACTGTATCTGGCTTTTGAGCTGCTTTATCGCACCATTGACTTTTCAGCTCAGTATATGTTAACCTTGATCATTATCCACAGATGTCCCCATGCTACACTCCGCAGATGTCCCTATGCCACACTCTACATTTTCCAAATTCTCTCCAGGTGGACTAAGTAGATTAAAGAACTTTAAACATAACTACCATATTTTGACTCTATCTAAAACATGTCCAATAATCAGTTAAGAAGGGAACAATTCTCTTGAGGCCCACATTTTGAGAAGCAAATGCAGCTGAACTTTTTTTTAGAGAAAAGTGAACAAACCAACTGGTAGCTTTGCCACTGCTTAAAAACCAGCATCCTTTCCAGCTGGGCCTGAGACAGAACAAGGTAAATTTAGACATACCTCTCTGATATCTATAGAACAGTGGTTGTCAACCCGGGGCGTTTTTGCCCCTTAGGGGATAATTTTTAATGTCTGGAAACTTCTGTGATTGTCACTTCTGGAAGGGGGCAGTGCTACTGGCATCTAGTGGATATAGAGCAAGGATGCCACCAAACATCCTATGCTGTAACAAAGATTTATCTGGTCAAAAATGTCAGTAGTGCTGAGGGTAAGGAACCCTGCTATAAAAAAGAAAGGTTTGTCTATAGAGCTGTTTGGATTTAGACACGACATCGCCCCAATAGTGGTGGTAGAAATAAGAGGAACCTGGTGCTTTTGCAAAGCCCATATCTGGGGTGGCTAAAATAATCATGCTCCTCCCCCCGGCCCCCACCTGATCTTTCTAGTTGGAAACTCCAGGGCTGGCAGCCTGGAGTCTTTGTGACTCTACACTTCCTGCCACCTATCACTTCATCTCAGAAGACTCCACATATAGGATCAGTCCATGCCATCGAGAAAGGTATTTTAAACATTGGAACACATATCGATAACTTAAGTAGGTAGATGTATGTGCTGTTATAAGGAAGTGGTGAGGAGAGGAGAGGGAACCGAAATTACATGCATGAATTTTTTTTTAGAATATAAATTAAAAATGTGGTAGTCTAAAATGGCAATTCTTCGAAGATAAACTTAGACTTTCAGTAATGTTAGAAATGGTTTTCTGGAGTATGTCTCCAGTCTACCAAAGCATTTCAGATCTCACTGTTTTGAATGTGCCCTCTTCGAAGATGAAGTTAGACTTTTAGTAACAAAGATAAAGTTAGACTTTCAGTAATGTGAGAAGTGGTTTTCTGGAGTATGTCTCCAGTCTACCTAACTTTGAGAAAGTAAATACCGTAAATAGATGTTTCAGGTGCATTTTGAAGCAATGATCCCAGCACATCTTTCAGCTACAGTATTTTGCTCTCTTTGAAATGATGTGTTCTCTTCCTCTTAGTTGATGCTATTAGGCTCATCTCAAGCTGATCTTGGCACCTCTCATGCTCTGCTCTCTTCAACCAGACCTCTACATTCCATTTTGGAAGAAGACTAAAAATGGTAAGAACAACTCAGAGATCCTTAAAAAGTGTTATCTGTAATCTTTGTGGAAACAACGGAAACCAGCTGGCAAGAGCAATTGTTAAAGAATCTGTAGTTAGGTTATTTGCTGGGGGAAAGTGCTTCCTGATATTTCACAACCGGCCTTAATGAAGGGGGCATTTCACAATTTCAGATTAATCAATGCTTGCTCTGTCCAACTTCCTACAAGAAGTAAATATGTGCTTTGGAAAGGAGGAGCAGATGTTTGAATTGGGAACATAGCTTCTATGGACCTCATTTCTTCAGCCTACATTTTTGGCTTTAAAGCCATAATAAATCGCCGAATTACTGAAGTTACTTTGTGCTTTTTCCAGCATATGGTGTTGTCTGAATGACTATGTGGATGGAACTGTGTGGGCAGGATCATAGAAATAAAATACGGGAAATCCCCGGGCTTGAGTGCTGTCAAAGAAAACTAAATCTGGAAAGTAGATAAAGCGATACTATCAGGACTATTGCATCGGCGGAAAGAGATCTCAATACAGAAAGGGGCTTAATTCCAAATACAGCCAAAGGCCAGTAAATATTTCTAGCCAAGAAGTAGAGTTGGTGGGGGGGATGGTCAGTGGATGGAAAATTACTAAAAGGAATCATCAAGGGTAAAAGGGATGCTGGCTAAACTGACCTGACAGGATTCTTGTTGAAGACAGACCAGGGTGATCAGACCTCACTGGGGAATGGTAGGAGATGAGGAGTTTGATCAGATATCAAAGGTGATCACATACCAAGAGGAGTTATCAATCAAATTATCAATCAAATGACTTAGCAGGATTTCTGCTTAAACTGGGCAATGCAAAGATGGACATGAAGCCCAAAGGCTGAAGCCTAGGGGTGTAGTGGAGCCTGATTAAGTTGAATTAAGGAGAATCTTTGTCACGCTGGCTCTCCTAGTCACTAATTGGGGGGGTCTTGTGCCTGTCATCAAAGTCCTCTGAAACTCAGTTTCTCTGACTATAGAATCCCTCCCCAGCTGCCTTCCAGGGCCACTGTGAGGCTCAAATAATAAACTATTTTTCAAGTCCTTTGCGAGTGGTATGATGCAAGTGTGAGTTATTAGGTATGCCAAAACTTAGTCGAAAAAAGGTGTTAATGGCCTTTTTCTGAAATTATTTTGTCACTTAATTCAGACACATTGTAGATCTGAATGTTGGCTCCTAGGCTCATTTCGTGTCAAAGTTCTAATGAAGCATTAACCATGCAGCTACTATGTTACAAAGGAAACTACTGCTTATGGCTTCATTTCCTAGAAACCCAGATATCTATTTTTTTTTTTTTTTTTTTCTGAGACAGAGTCTCGATCTGTCGCCTAGGCTGGAGCGCAGTGGCGCAATCTTGGTTCACTGCAACCTCCGCCTCCCAGGTTCAAGTGATTCTCCGGCCTCAGCCCCCTGAGTAGCTGGGATTACAGGTGTGCACCACCACATCCAGCTAATTTTTGTATTTTTAGTAGAGACAGAGTTTCACCATGCTGGCCAGCCTGGTCTCGAATTCCCAACCTCAATCGATCTGCCCACCTTGGCCTCCCAAAGTGCTGGGATTACAGGCGTGAGCCGCCACGCCTGACCCTGGATGTCTATTTTAATGCAAACCTATGCCCACATCTGTCTTTGCCCCTTGAGGGATGGCATAATGCGAATGATAGTAACACAGAGAGCTCACATTTCTTGACCACTCAAGTATCATGCTGAGGGCTAGATACACGTGATTCTATGTTGGCCTCAAAGTAGCCCTATGACATAGAGATAAAGAAACTGGGGCTTTGAGAGGTTAAAGAGCTTGGGTGGCTCTGAAGGCTGTGCTGAAGACTCCTCTGTTCTTCCTAGACCAAGCCCAGCACACACATAATAAAGGTGAGGCTGGATTACGCTGGTTTCCTACTCAAGTACAAAGGGGAAATCGTATATCTCTTCTAAGAAAAGACATGAAAATAATTTTCAAGATGAGAAATTCAAAAGGCAAAACAGCACAGGGAATATATTCAACTGTATTGAGTCATATGTCAGATCCTTTGATCTAGAGATTACACCTTAGAAACTGTTCTTAAGGAAGTGACCATGAGACTGGATAAAGAAAATGTGGTAAATATATGTCACAGAATACTATGCAGTCATGAAATGAGATCATATCATTTGCAGGGACATGGATGAAGCTGGAAGCCATTATCCTCAGCAAACTAACACAGGAACAGAAAGCCAGACACCACATGTTCTCACTTATAAGTGGGAGCTGGACAATGAGAACACATGGACACAGGGAGGGAACAACACGCACTGTGGCGGGGGAGAGCATTAGGGAAAAGAGTTAATGCATGCAGGGCTTAATACCTAGGTGATAGGTTGATAGATGCAGCAAACCACCATGACACATGTTTACCTATGTAACAAACATGCACATCCTGCACCTGTACCCCAAAACTTTAAAAAATGAACAATAAAATATGTTTTTAAAAAAGTAGTGATCATGGACATGGCAAACTATTCACCAAGAGAGTCTGTGCAGCCAGGCCAAAAAAAAAAAAAAAAAAAAAAAAAAAAACTCATGTCCTGTGTTGGGAAGGGTGAATTAACTGTAGTATACTCATTAAATGGAATATTATATAATCATCAAATCATGTTTTTTAAAAGAATATTGAATGACCTAAGAAAGTACTCATGATATAATGTTAAATGAAGAAAGCAAGCTAGGAACTGATAAGTGCCGTGTATTCGTGATGTTTTTACTACACCTGCTAGACAAATACTAGATGCTTACTAAATGGTGGACCATCTGTCATAATGGTTTACATAAACACATGTGTTGCATATTCTAGTTTCATTCGACATCCCTGCTTTATAACCATTTTACAGTTAGTAAATCAGAAGTTTATGAGGTCAAGTGATTTGTGAAAGTCAGAGAGCTCTTATACGACAGAACAAGGATTTAAAACCAAATTTTTCTACTGACAAAGCCTTGGGCTATTACTAAAATGCTTCTCACCATGTGGAATAGATGCAGGCATGGGAAATTACTAGTAGAAGGGAACATCGCCCAAAATGTGAATAGTAGTTCAGCAAATTTAGAAGTAAAAACATTGTTCTGCTCTTAACCTATAGCAAATTTATTTATGGCTAAAAAATGGGTTATTTAGTAATCCATGTATTAAATTAATATGATCTGATTATTTAAAATTTTGGAAGGCTGTACTAAAATTAAAAATCATCATTACAGATTAACCAGCCAATCCCTTTGTAGCCCAAGAATAAATAATGTATATCCCCAAAGCTTAGCAAAGTTTAGGGCTGGGGTTGGCAAACTATGGTCCATGGGCTATATCCCATCTGCTGTACAGCTCAGGAATTAAGATTGGTTTTTTTGGTTTTTAAAAGATTGAAAAATATCGAAGCAAAACAACTATTTTGTGATGTGTAAAAGTTGTATTCAATTCAACTTTCAGTGTTTATAAATAGTTTTATTGTTTATTTACTTATATAGTGTTGATAAGTGCTTTGGTGCTATTCAAGGAGTTGAATAGTGTGACAGAGACCCAGATGGCCTGCAAAGCTTAAGCCACTTACTAACTGGCCCTTAACAGAAAAAGTATGTCAGTCCATGGTTTACAGAAAATGGGAGGATATGGTATAAAGTCAAATAAGTTTGAGGACCCTATGGTCTTTGGTGACTACTGTGACGCATAATAGCTGTTGAGTTCCTAATTGATGTAAGGCAACTTTATATCCTTTTATTCTTTTAGTTTGAAAACTAAGTCTGTTGGGCTAAAATGATAGGAAGTAAATGATAACTCTCCTTTTTTTTTTTTTTAGAAACAGGAAATCGTTTACACCCTTGTACTTAAATTTTTCGGTGACATCATAAAACCGATATTCATGGTATTTGTACTTTATAGAGATTAAACTATAATTAGAAATATTTCAAAATTCACAAATAGGGGATATTTGTTCATAAATCTATTTGGGAAATTCCTAGCAGAGGCTCAGTCTACAAAATGAATAGCGTTTCAGCAACTTCCCTTATTCACAGTGCTTGGTTATTCTCTAGGGAGACATACACAACATATCTGTAGTTACCAAACAATTCAGTGTGATATCAACATGGCAAAAAGTCAATGAATTTCAGGGCAATGGTTTCCAGCAATCGCCCCCACCCCCCCGCCCCACCACTGCTTATTTCTTCCATGCCCTTTCTCAGTTTTATTTAGCCAGGCAGCCACCTCCTCCGGTTTCTCCCAGCCCCACAGCTGCAGGCTCCCCACCATCACAGAAAGCCCCTTGCTCACACATCTTGGCTCAAGCAATTCCTTCCCTCAGAAATACAGATGCCAGCATTTCCTTTTAAACTCAGGCAACTTGGCTTTTTTCTGCTCTGTGATCTTAAAACTTGCTTGTAGGAGGAGCTGAGTGTGTGAGGCTGTGGTCATCTCAGGGCTGGCATGTTGTGGCCCAGGGGGTGCCCAGGGCCGTTTCTGCCTGGTGGGTTAGTTGGGTAGAAGAGTGGAGTCAGGAGAGCAATAAATCCTTTCTTAACTCACTATAAAAATACAATTGCTCCCCAGGCCTCAAGTAGTCTCATTTCAAGACAAATTTCCTTTTGCGAAGAATTCTGCTGAAAATAATCCATTCTAGCCAGATAATAGCTATGCAAACTATATATAATAGACTGGTAGAGGCATGCATGCTGATTCAATACCGAAAGGTGAGAGTTTCTTTTGCTGGATGTGGTGGTGGGGAAATTCCTGATTACAATAGTACTCTACTTCTCCATCCAGACAACTCTCCAACTCTCTTTCTCCATCCAGAAACTCTCCACTTTCTCTTCTTTCTCCCCGTTGTTTACCTACCTAGACTATCTGCCCCCATATGTCCTGCCTGATGTCCTGCTCCAGTTACCTATCACGGCATAAGGGATCACCTCAAAATGCAATGGCTTCAAACAACAACAATCACATACTGCTTTCTGTCATG